CTTCTGGACCGGAATATCATTGCGGCCTTTTACTGAGTCCTTCACACTTTGGGCCATAAAGTCCATCTCACAGCTCGGTCCAATTTCTCCAAAAATTACCCTCTCACTTATAATATGCATATGGATGTGTATGACACACGAAAATCATGTAAATGAAGGCCTAGAAATAAAAAAACGGAAAGAAAACAAAATTAGAAAAGTCTGCCCTATTTGGCTGCTTGTGCGGTGGCCTTGGCTGCCCGAGCGGTGGTGAAACAGTGTGCAACTTTGAGCAAAAGAGGCCCGATCGCTCGTGCGGTAGCCCAGGCCGCTCGAGCGGTCTAGGTGTAAAACCAGTCTGAAAATCTGCTCTAAGTTTGACACTTACTCTTTTACAAAACTAACTTCAAATTCATACAATTCAAGGCTCAAAACACTTGAAAATAACTTTAAACTAGAATGTTTGGATGTCAAGCACAAACACATGGTTACAAAGCAACCTCCATTTCCGTGTAAACATAATCAAACCTTTGAATTGAGATATATAGTTCTAAACATACAAGTTTAAGTGCTAAATTTCCAAATCTCTTGAAAATATGTCATGCATATAAGGATTATGAGCTAATTCATTCAATTCTTCGATATATATATACATGCATGTCTTAATCCTTAACGATATGAGCAAAACCTTCATTTGATCATCAATTCTTCTTAATTTCAACCTTAATCTTTAAAGATGTTGCATGTGTAAATCTCAATTTCAAGAAATTAGAGAGAGAATGCTTACCTTGTTGAATTGTGAGAACTCAAGGCACTCTTCTACCTAAGTTCTTCTTTGCCTCCTCTTGGTGTTCTTTTCTTTCATTTCTTCTACTCTCTGAACTCTCTAGCACAATCTCTCCCTCTCTCTCTACGTGTATAACTTGTATGACCCCCAACAAGACCCACTAACCTCTCTTTTCTTTTCTTTTCTATTCAATTTATGGCCATACACTAGTCCTTTTGATTCTACTTATTTTGGGTTTAATTAAAAAAAAGTTAGGAACTGTATTATTTAATTGGAATTGAATTCACTCAAATTAATTGAATCCTCATCCTTATAATCTTAATTACACTAAATTAAATTATACTAATGTGTATTAAGCTCTATTTCCTATTCAATTATTTAATTCCAACCTATTAAAACTAGCGAATCAGACAAAATCAATTTTTAATTAAACTTCCCGTATAACTTTAAAAATTTCAATTAACATATCCTTGTACTCAATTTTGATTTCTGAACCTATTTATGTCGTCAATTTCAATTCTAAAGTTGTATTCTCAACAAATAATTTCCCAATTTGGACAGATATACCCAAATTAAATCACATAATCTGCAATTAACACATGGATAATTCAGGTAATTATAATTTGCATTTTTGGAGTGTTACATAAATAAAAAAGATTTCTAAGTAAAAATTCATCCCAAATTTAATTCCCATAGGTTGTGTATTTTACATTTCTAGCACAAGAGAAAGAAAAAAAGAAGTAAAGGGTATAACCGTAAATTTAATTTTTAAATAATATATTAAATTTACCTTTCTAAAATCAATACGGCTAATTGATTTACAAAAAAATCATTATGACTAAACGGATCATCATTTCTCAATAGGAATTTATAGATAAATTTTCCAAAATTTTTTTAGCTTCTTGGTTTAAAGGTGGCTAAAAATTAGGGGGACTTAAATCTAGGTCCTAATATTTATTGTCCAATAGACCCTATGGTAATTAATGACATTTTTTACTAAACACTATTAAAAAAGCTGCTAATTGTTAATTTTTATCGGCAATTTAAAAATTGTCATAAAAAATGGCACTAAGGCCTTGTTTGGCATGCGAAAGTTTTAGTTTAAAAATTAAAAAGTTACTAAAAATATTAAAAAGTTTATAACCTATACCAAAAAGTCCAAGATTCTATTTTCTTTCTACTTTTTGCGCATCTTTTTATAAAAAAATTAAAAAGTCATTCCAAACATATTTGTTTTTTTACCTTATATTTTAATCAAAAAGTTACTAAAATAGCTTGTTCCGAAATGAGGCCGAATTATAAATTTTAGTGACAGTTAAAAAAATTGTCACAAAAAATATTACTGATTTTTAACTATCAACGACAATTTAAAAAATTCATCACAAAAAAATGTCACTAATTATAAATTTTAATGATAATTTATAAAAATCGTGACAAAAAAAAGCTGCTAATTGTCAACAAAAAATTATTTGTAGTAATAATTTTATTAAGACTTTTTTTTAATAGGATTTGATGAGAATTAAGTATAACAATTAGGACCTATTGATAGTTTATCTGAAATGTAATAAATTTTGAAAAAAAAATATTAAATTTTTATGTCTTTAATAATTTTTTTTTGTAATTATAATTTCTAATTATTATCTATTTTAATTGCTAATTAAAATGTGATTTTTAATTAGATTTACATTTTGGTTAATGATTGAGAACTCTAGATATAGAGATCTAAATAGAGCTCTATACATATTGCATTGAAAAAAGAAAAGGGAAATGATTTTTCTCCCGAAATCCCCCCCCCAAACAGCCCGAAAGAGAGAAAGAGAAGAGAAAGAGAGAAAGAGGGAAAGAGAAGAAGGAATGGAGAGAGAGAGAGAGAGAGAGAGAGGGCCCCTCCTTCGCCTCCGCCGCCGCCGATCGATGGCAGATCGACCGGCCGATCGTCGTAGCAGCTCCGATCGTCGCAGTCCCACCTCAGCTCCGCCTCCGGCCCCGCCTACACCTCCAGCCCGATTTTGTTGACCCTCTCCCCTCCAGTTCTTCTTCTTTTCCTCCTTTTTCCTCCTTCATCCTCTGATTTTCTTCTTTTGAAAAAAAAAATAATTCAAAAACGACGTCGTTTTTTGAATTCAGGAGATTCGGGACGGCTCAAATTCGAGCTACCAATCACTACTCTTCAATAATATACAAAATAATATAATAGATTTTAATTTTATCACTTTAAAATGAAAGGTTTATTATGTTGGCTTGCATTTTCAAAAGAGTAGTACTATACAAAAATAAATAAATAAATAATGGTTCAAAAAATTTATACAAAATTATGACTTCCTGTGGTAGTTTCATTTCTAATCAAAAAAACCATTTATTATCTCTATAATTTCAAAAATGGCACTAACATATTATTTTGGATTGTTTTGAAAAACTGGTTAAAAATTGATTTTTTGATTTTTTTTGGATTTTTTTTTATAGCGATGTACGAGAATTTATTTTTAAAATAAAAAATGAATTTTGTGTCTTAATATTTTATGTCTAAAAATAATAATTGAAAGTCAAATACAAACAGATTTGTTAATAGTTGATATGTAAAATAGGCACATAAAAATAATTTCTTTTAAAATTAAAAAAGAAGAAGATGTATTCTCAATCTGAAATCAATCCTCATTTGTGTTAATCAATCATGAATTCTACTTGTATCAAAATATTTTTTTTTGTGAAAAATTTGGTTATAACTCATCATGTATTATTTTGGTTATTAATTAAAAATGTCTTTACTAATTTCTTATGCTTTTAGTTATGTCTAAAGTGGTGCATCAATTATTTAATTATAATTCAAGTGATAGTTGATTTTAATCTATTATAATACTTTTATATGACGATATTTAAGTATTTTATTACATGAAAAAAATGTTTAAAGTGGATTGACTCAAAGGCAGAATTTATGCTTATATCAATAAGATCGTAAAAATTATTTACATTAATATATAAAAAATTAAAAATTCAAATCATAAACAGTGTCCTCAAAGAGAATCAAGTACAAAATTTTTATAACTATAATAATTTCAATTCTCAAAGAGGTTTTGATTAATTATGTGATACATCATAATAACCACAAAATTTTTATTCCAACCAAATTAGTTTTGCATATATTTTCTGACAGAACTCATGAAGGTATTTTATTAGTAATACTATAAATTCAAAAATTTAAGGGCAAATTACATTAAATCCCCTCAAACTATTGACCTTACACTTTACTCTCCTAATATTTTAAACCCAATAATTACCCTTCTCAAACTATTTGAATTTGAACATTAAGTCTTTTTGTTAGTCATTTGTTAGATATTTGGATAAAAAATCATCAAATTGGACGCTACACACATATGTGAATCACATCTAAAAATATGATGTCAGAGATAATATCATAATAGAGTTAACTTTAATTAATGTAATGATATTTTGTATTATAATATGTGTTACAAAAGAACAAGAGTTAATTACCTAAAAGTCGTATTTACCAATGTTATGGTAGTTTAGGTTCTATCTAAGATTTTTTGTACTAATAAGTTCTATTTAGTAAAACTGAGAATATTATCAATTTTTTCAATTTTTAAAATTAAGAACATTATCAATTTTACATAGTAATATTCCAAATAATTGTTTCATTAACTGATAAAAAAAAAAACAAAGCATGAGAGATTAAACATTTTTACGCTTCTACTTATTGGTTTAATTCAATTATTCAATAAAACTGAGAACATTATCAGTTTTTTTCTAGTTTTAAAATTGAAAACATCATCAATTTTTTCATTTTTCATTTTTTTTTTCAATTTTGCATATCAAATGTTCCATCATCATGTTCCTTTATAGACACAAAATTTTTAATTTTGCACAAAACAATAATTCAGTTTTGTCAATTTAAAAAAAAAAAATTTTTTTTTTTTAGTTTTTTCAATTTAAAAGTTCATGTTTTAAAGTTTTGAAATTCAAAATAAATGTCAAATCACCATGTTCCTTTATAGATAATCATAAATGATGAACAATAATTATTTGAAGAGCAATTCCAACTATTAAAAATTTAATGGGATTTGAATGTGTAAAAAATCTTAGTTAGAATTTAATGGAGTATAAGTTCATAAATTAAGACTTGTGCGGAAAAGCCCCAAAGAATAATATTAATTATAATTTAAATTAAAATTATTTATTTTAAGGAAAAGAAAAGCTTTCAAGAATGATTGAAAAAAACATGGTTCCGACACTGGAAGCCATCAAGGGTGGTGGAGGATCCATCAAAGTTGGGTCCACCGGGACAATTGGTACCTTAATGTCAAGGGAATTAGAATCCACAAAGTCTGATCCTCAAACACCTAGGAAGAAATCTCCTACAGTTTCTATTTTGGTTCCTAGTGATGCCACTACTCCTAAAATACTAAAGCCAAGAACATCACTGGATGAAGCAAGCAGCAGTAGCAGCAGCAGCAGCATCGTGAATAAGAAAAGCACTGAAATTGCCCGGAAAACAAAACACTACAATCGGAAAACCCATCAAATACCAATGCTCGACTCTGATAACATATCCTTAGACGGAAGTACTCCTATTAGAGATAAACCTGATAAAAGAGGATCTTACATTGTTGAAGTTGTGGACATAAAATGCGGTAATCAGGACAGGACATGAAGATGAGCGCCTGGATCGCGAGGGCTTCGGAGACGAAGATGTATGCGATTGCAATGAGAGGAAAGGAGAGAAGGAGAACAAGGCCGGGAATCTCCACTGGGTAAAGGATTGAAATTTTTCTGTTGTATGTTTAGGGAACTTAGACATCAAAAAATAATTTTGTGGATCTCTTCCATTATAAAAAGTGGGAGAGGGACCCTAGACCAATTTTCCCATGAAAAAATATGAAAAATAAGTATTTATTAAATAGAGTCCATATAAAATTAATTATTATAATTAAAATTGAGTTTGTAAAGAACTTTATAGGTCAATGGAAAAGGCGGCCGATATGGCTTTTTTTTTAGAAAAAAGTAAGCGTTTAAAATGTGCCATCTAAATAAAGGGAAAATACTATTTTTAATTATATATATATATATATGTATATATGATGACTATTTAAGCTCTCAGTTTATTTTCCCTGTAAAAGTCAAAATATTTTGTGATTTTTTTGAATATATTGATCATTCATAGGTTTGAATTGTCCAAATTATACATAAATTTGAGAAGAGGGGAAATTCCATGTCATGAAATTTTCACAATTTAATTACACAATCATGAAAAATTTATGATTTCACTTTTTAATACTTATAAAATTTATCATTAATTTGAAAATATTTTTCTAAACTTATATTGAAATGAAATTATCCCTTAATTAATTTGTTAAAATTAGATTCTATTAATATTTTTTTTATAAAATTATTAATAACATTAACAAATTATATAATGTGAGAGAGATGGAGAGGCGGAAGATAAGATTTAAAAAATTGATATGCCATTAATGAAAAAATAAAGATGATAAAATAATATATGTAATTTGAACGGAATGGATCCATTCAGTCCACAAGAAAGGGAATGGATGGCTTTCCTACGGACTGTGATCGGATTGGAGAATATTGTTGGGTCCGTGGGAGCGCACTACGGGTCTCGTTTCGATAAGTCAAACCGTTCAATGTGTAGAGTTTATCGAGTAATCTATATTTGTAACAAATCATGTTAATCGGATATCAATAGTTATGTTATCAAATTAGATTTTTTTAAGCCGTTTATTTTTTTTACCATTCATTTTTTTAATACAAAACTGATTTGATCACATAACTATCGATATCCGATCAATATGATTTTTTACAAGTATATAGTAATCAACGAGTTCTACACATTAACGATTCGGATTATTAAAATGGAACCCGTGGTGGGCTCCCACGGACCCAATAGTACGGACTGGAGGGAAGCCATTCCCCATTAGAAAATACTTTTAATTTCTGCAAAAATTGACTCTTCAATTCCTTTCCTTTATATTTAGGTGTTATTTTCCATGAAAATCATAAACAAGAGAGAACAAAAATGAGAGAAGAAAAAGAAACGGCTTTCCCACTAATTTCGTTGATCAGAAATCGTAAAAACTGAGTCTCTGATCCCTCTTTGATAACCTTCTCAAACACTCCACATTGCCCTCCTGATTGAAAATCTTAGAAGCTTTATATTCGTAAGTCTTTCAAATCTTTGTTACATGTCTATATATTCATTCATATATGTATGCATGATCGTTTTGTTCCTCTGCAACATTTTTAATTCAAAATTTAATATAACAATTAGTAGTTTCTTACTGAACCCAAAATGAATCTCACAATGGGTTATCTTATCCTTGTGTGTGCATGGGTGTGCACTAATTTCCTATTGTGACTCTGTTTGGTTGATAAGAAAATGTAGGAAAAAGAAGAAGTTAAATTGTTGAATCTTCACTAATTCTTTAGTGTTTACCTAGAAACAAATCTCCGCCACCCAATAGGTCATTGACTTTCCTTTGGATCAAAATTTCTTATTGATAATTTTGTTTGCTGCATAGGAACATGTTTGGTTTTTTTATATTTATGTTGAGAACTAGAAATTGAAAACAAAAACACACAACTTTTTTCTATGAGCTGAATTAAGCTCAAAGTCTAAGTGGGGTTGTTTCAAAACACAAATGAGATGAAAACTAGTTGTTGCAAGTGTAAGAAAGTGAGTTGTGGGAAACATGTGGGTGAAGGTTAGTCATTAATCATGATGAAGTATATTAATATTATGGTTTTGATTTTGAATATATATCTATATATCTATTTTTTTTGGGAGGGGGGGAAGAGATGGGGATAGCAAGGGTATTTAGAACATTGCACCAACTAATTTTTAGATACATATTATCTCTCATCTCATATGAGTTAATTATCGGGCGGAGTTCCTTAGGGTGGCCCTAAAGGGTCAAACCACTTTACGAGATTCAAACTCGTGATCTATACTTCCTGAAACATTTATCACAGTTTAATTTGCTACTTGCCCCTTCAGATTATTGTTTAGAGCTTTGCATGGCCTATCTAGTAGAAGCAAGTGAAGGCGGACTCATAGAATTTTATCCTTGGAAATTGTTTGGTACAATCATTAGTTCAATTGGACCATGAGAAATGATAATTGCACATAATTAAAACATAGAAAATGTACATAAAGGTATAATGGGGTTGTTTGGCAAGTTGGATTTTAGCCTTTTTTTTTTTTTTTTTTTTTTTTTTTTGTGGCTAAAATTCATAAAAAGATAAAATAAGTTAAAATAGCTAATAAGACAAAATGTCACATCAAATCTATAATTATTTCACTTTTTTTTCTCACAAATATCACATCCAACTACAAAAAAATCTAATTACTTTTCCAAACACAAAAATTTTAGTCTACTAAAATAGTCAAAAATTAAAATAGCATACTAAAATAGCAACTTTCCAAACACCCACAATGTGTGCCTAAAATCTATCTTCAGTATTATGTGGGTTGTACTAAATAAATTTAAATCACAAATGCACTTTATGAGCATGTTTCTGTGTTTTAATTCTGTGCAGGTAGTACTGTTAAATATGATATATTGGAAAACTTTTTTTTTTGTCATATCTTCATAGGATTAAAGTGAAACTTTGCAAAAATAATTGACTAAAATTATGGGTTTTCCCTTCAATTTGTTTGTGATAATAAGGAACTCTTGCACATTTGTTTCTAGAGAAAAAGTTCTGGAAAAACAATCCAGAGAGGCAGTCGTATCAAATTATTCAAAATGAGTCAACAGAACAAGAATGCAACCTCTTCCACTCAAGCAGACCACCCCCCGGGGAAGCGAAAACGAGGTCGTCCACGTAAGGATGAGAAAGCTCATCCCCCTCTACCTCCCCCATCTGTTGATCCAAAAACAATTCAGCACGTCGAAGTTGATTTAGGCGACGACATTGACGATGACATGGTAGGTCAGGTGGTTTCCGGTGTCATTGAAGGGTCTTTTGATGCTGGGTATTTTCTCACCGTCAGGGCTGCCAACGACACCAACAAGCTTCTCCGCGGCGTGGTATTTCAGCCAGGCTTGTTCACTCCTATCACCGCATCAAATGATGTCGATCCACAAGCTAAGATGCACACTAGAAGAGAATTTCCCATCCCGGTCCTCAATCCACAAGGTCCGGTTAACGGTTCTTTATCACAATCAGAACAAAAAAATGAGCAGTCAAGTGCCCAAATTTCACTTCCTGACCAATCTGCCTCTGTTACAGTAGTACCTGTAACTGATAATTTGATAAAGAATGATTATGATTCATCTGTTTGCTTGGGAGGAAAATATATGCCCCAGGAAAATTTTGAGTCTGGAGTTGAGAATTTCACTCTCTTGGGAGGCGAAAACCTGCCACAGCTTAAGGGTGAGTTCGGACTTGAGAAACAATCTACACCTCATTTCGAGCATGGTAAAATTGTCGAACATGAGAGGATGATGCAGGAATTTGAAGCTTCGACTATGTCAAATGGACCTAAACTTGATGTAAAAGGATCAGAAAATATGATGCTTGAAATAGCATCTAAAATCACTGCTGATACTTTTCCAGGGAATGAAGAAGCGGTGACACGGGTTCAAGCTCAGGCTGTGGATTCTGCACTTGAGGCAAGTGAATTGGCTCACCAAACTCAGCTAGCTGCTGAACTTAGACTTGTGACCGGTGAACCAATTAGCAAACCCGTGAACACAACTGAGAACCCTTTGTCCATGAAAACTGGTATGCCACAAACTATACAGTCAGAGTTGGCTCAAAATCCAGCAAGAGATGATGAAACTAATGAAAGTGCATTTGGTGATGTTGCTGACAAAACTAAAGGAGTTTTCACATATGGAAGAAGCGGCGCAATGTGAATCTGAGCTTGACATAACTGAAGGAGGACTTTTAGTCTGTTCATCAAATTCCAACCAACCTGTAATGTTGAGGCACAAAGATTCGAGAATCAACAGCTAAAGAAAGATAGAGAATCAACAGACGATACATATAGAATGAAAATTTCAGAACAACAGGTTACACAAGTAGTGGATTTATTGGTTTAAATCACTTGTCTGTCAACCATATGAAATGTTATTGTACTTTGCAATTTTGCATGCTCTACCTTGGAAATTTGGATTTTACCCTTTTGTTGTTCTCTTATATTGAGAAATATTGGCATGTTTGCTTATGTTTTTGTTTTCCTCCTTGTTTTCTGAAATGAAGCAAATATCCAGGGCCGGCCCTGGGCTAAGGCTGGTAAGGCCTGTGCCTAAGGCCTAAAAAATTAGGCCTAAAAAAGGGCTCCCAAATTTAGTTTTGTATTATATTAAAATTTTAAGATGATCCAATTCTGTTTAATTAATTTAGGCCATTTTAATGGAGGCCTCAACAAATCTATTTGGCCCAATTGATAAAAGGCCTAATTGAAAAATATTTATAAGTTTTAGTTGTTAGTCCAATTAAAAAAATAAAATATAAAATATATCTATATGTATTAGTCGTTAGCCTAATTTTATGTGACCTATTTTTTTTTCTCTTTATGGCCCAATTATGTGTTTTTTAGTATTTTTTTTAAAAATATTTTATACAATTTTAATTATTTATTTATTTTGTAGATATATCTAATTTAGATACGCTTAAAAACTATAATATTTATATTTTTTTGAAAAAATGTTACCAAATACAAAAATATAAAAAAAATACAAATTGTAAATTTAGATAATTATTTTTGAAAACTCTAAACCAAACAAAGTGATTTTTATTTTTATTTTTAATAAATATTTAAAAAGGTCCCGAAAAATTAGTTTGCCTTAGGCCTCGGAAACTCAGGGCCGGCCCTGCAAATATCACACAAACATTTGACAGTAAACCATTGTAGAGCTTCGCCGTTACTGCCTACACAGGACTTAATCGTAGATTTCTTTTGAAATTTTAAGGGTGGGTAGAACGAACATGAGGACTGGCTTACTATACCGCTCCATTTGATTAGAAAAATATTTTATGTATTTTTTTGGCGGTACTGTTAGTGTAATTAGCACCGAAAAATAAATAAAGGGCAAAAAAAAATTTAATGAGCCAAACACCAACTGGTACAATAGTGGGGTGGCAGTAGCAGTGATGGTGGCGGTGGTCATGATGATGGTGGTGTAGTGGTGGTGTTAGTACGGTGACATTGATAAGAGTTTAATTCAAAAAATCTTTTATATGAAAAATATTTTATGACAAAATAGGTTTATTTCCATTGACCAAAATATTTGTTGTTAACTTTCGTTTTCTATTATATAAAATGTCACAAAATGGAGAAAATATTTTTTCAAACAACGAAGCCTTGTAGTAAGTTGGTACTCAAGTTCATTATTTTTGTTAATAGTGATTTTTTTCTTTGAAAAATTTACCCATAAATCTTATATAAAAAAATATTAATTCATTTAGTCTTAAAAATTTTCTTATGAACTATTTAGTCATATTTGTTTTTGGAAAGGTGAATGTAATAGTTTTGGTACCATTTGAGTTTACTGAAATACTCTTTTTGATTTAATTACTTTCCCTGTTTCTTGTTTTTGGGTTGGAAAGGTAAGGTGTACAAAGTATTATTTTGTGGGATTGAGATGAGTGAATCACGGTGAGTGTGTTGGTGATGCCTTGTTGGTAGATGCCTTATTTGTAACATTAAGAAAATGGCAACATATAAGATTAATCAATAATGCTAGGTGGCCCGAAAAAATATGGCTCGATTGGCTCGAAACACCAAAAAAGAGTAAAACGACGTCGTTTTGGGTGTAAAACGACGTCGTTTTGACACATTCGAGTCACAGAAATTCGGACCACCAAACATTTTCCTAAGATTAATGTAACAATTGTTCACAAATAAAATTCTCAAAATACCATATACTTCACAAAATACCATAAACTTCACATAATGTAACATAACAAAAAATATGAAGTTTGTTGACCACCTCATAGAACACCATAATGGCTCATTGTCATTATTTAGTGATACACGAACACTATTAACAAATGTAACATTAACAGTATACTAACATTTCCAATCATTAATAGTATACTAAAGTTTTAAATAAAATGCTACACTAACATATAAATGATACATTAATAATATACTAAAGTTTAAGATTTGGGGGTGTTTGGGAAGAAAAAAAATAGCCAAATTTAGTCTAAAAATCACAAAAAGACAAAATAGGCTAAAATAGCTAATAAGACAAAATATCACATCAAACCCATAATCATTTCACTTTTTCTCTCACAAACATCACATCCAACCACAAAAAAATCCAATCATTTTTCCAAACACAAAAATTTTAGCCTACTTAAAATAGCCAAAAACTAAAATAGTCTACTAAAATAGCCACTTCCCAAACGAGCCCAAAATGTTACACTAAAATTTAAATGATACATTTGTTCACATACTTCACAATATGTCATAAATCTCACATAACTGCGTATGTCTACCAGAACCCCCACTTATTGTGATGATAAGCCCATGGGGAAACAATGTAAACACCACGGAAATGAGTACATCACAATGTGAACATTTGTGAGCCCCATTAATATTGACAAACGAATCTTCAAATATCAGACCCACCAATAATAGATGATAACTAGGGCAAACAAGATCAAATTTCAGTCATTCATACACAAGAAATTCACGCAACCCAACCGGACATGCGAACCAAAATATGACATTCCAACCTGTTAAAATTCAATGTATAAAAAGAAATAGAGAATTGTATTATTGATTAATGTGTTGATATTCTGTGTATATTACAAGGAGATGTGCACTCTCTTTTATAGAGAGGCAAAGATACATAGGGTGGCATAAAGCAAAGGATAATTATTAAAACTAACATAATGCTGTACTAAACATAATGATAACACTAGCAATACTAACATAGAATACTAACATCACTAACATATAATACTAACATATTTTAACAGCCCCCCGCAAACTCAAGGAGGATAGAAACTAACCAACTTGAGTTTGGAGAGAGGAACAAAATAAAAATAAAAGAGGATAGGAGACACTGTATGGTCGTGTCAGATCGGTGGTGAAGACACTGGATGGTGGTGTCATAACGTTGTAGAGGACACTGTATGGTGGTGTCATAACGTTGTAGAGGACACTGTATGGTGGTGTCATAACGTTGTAGAGGACACTGTATGGTGGTGTCATAACGTTGTAGAGGACACTGTATGGTGGTGTCATAACGTTGTAGAGGACACTGTATGGTGGTGTCATAACGTTGTAGAGGACACTGTATGGTGGTGTCATAACGTTGTAGAGGACACTGTATGGTGGTGTCATAACGTTGTAGAGGACACTGTATGGGGGTGTCATAACGTTGTAGAGGACACTGTATGGGGGTGTCATAACGTTGTAGAGGACACTGTATGGGGGTGTCATAACGTTGTAGAGGACACTGTATGGGGGTGTCATAACGTTGTAGAGGACACTGTATGGGGGTTTGTTACAACAAAAATATCAAGTTTATGGGGTCATGGCGGACCGTTGT